AGATTTCATCTCATTTACAAGATATGTGAATTGATATATTAAACTGATAGTAAATCCTAAAACATGAGCACTAAAAACAGTGAACACAGGGCAAATTAGCTCATAATCTGTTATGAAACATTTTAATTAAACTGTGTACAAGAAACACAATGCTGCCTATTTCATATGGTTGAAAGGAATTTTACAAATTATTTGCCTTGTAGCACAAAGGAATTTTTCATGTCTGATGCCCTTCTGAACACAACATTAATATCAATGTTTGTAAGCCAAAGGGACATTTGATACAAATGGATTTTATACCACTATTCTACGATGGCTGTTATCTCAGTAATAAGAGATGAGCTCTCGATTTTCAGATCGTGTCACATAGAAGATGGTCACAAACCTTTTTTATGTGGATTTGACACAGATCTACTGGTGGGGGAAACTGTACATTTAACATCCCCTTTTCCTGGGTTTACCTGTCAATTTTTACAGTGCCGTCTCAAAATAGTCATCTTAGAAGTTGGGGTTTCCATGCAGACAGCTTCCACAATAAAAATAAACGAGGGAGCCCTTTGAATTAACCACAAGGAATAGTAAGGTATTATGCAGAAGTCACTCCTTTTTGAGAACTAGTGATTTGTTGTAGTTTTGTGCATTGAAGTTGCCTCCAACTTAAGGTGACCCTATGAATGAGCAGTCTCTAAAATATACTGCCCTCAACAACCCTGCCCAGCTCTTGCAGATTCAAGCCTGTGAGTTCCTTTAAAGTGTCTGTCCATCTCATATTTGTTCTTCCTCTTCTCCTGCTGCCGTCAACCCCAAAAAATTAGAATACAAATATGAAAGTTAATGTATACTAAGCTATGTAAAAATAGCTTAGTATACATTAGTTATTAGTTTGTGAGCTTCAAGTTTTCATAAGCTCAGGTGTGTTGGGTTACAGTAGGTCAGAGCAGTGAATTTCCATAGTATGAACATCACTGCATTCATACAGAACTTGACATAAATAAATTACAAGAGGATGACAAAAAGACTTAAGTTTGTAGTCTGAGGATTTAGCAAGTCTGGCTGTCTAAATTTTCTTGGACTGCAACTCTCATTATACCAGTGTAGTCAATTTGACAGATGATCCAGGGCTGTATGTTGCTTGCCCCAGTCTAAAAGCATAAAATAGATAATTGTGAAGAGATTTCTGATGAACACATTGTGGTAACCCAAAGATCACCACACTAGTATTTAATCAGGAGAATTTCCTAGTTATTACATTAAAATAAACTATCCAACAAGTTTAATGCATATTCCTCTCTACTGTCCTCAAGTCTACTTACTGGACAATACTGTTGAACAATAATGGAGCTAGAATACAGTACAGTGTTATCTCCATCGAGCCAAGCAATACAGAATTGTTCCAACATCAATAGATTACTATAGAAGTTCTCAGAAATATTTGCATTGTTAGTGAAAGCAAAATTATTCTACAATCCAATAAACAGCAATCTTTGTTACTATCGTATAAACCAGTGGTTCTTAACGTGGGCGATAATGCCCACCAGGGGGCGATT